TGGGCAAAACGCTTTGGCTGTTTCTGAGAATGGTGGGTTAGGAAAATGGAGGTTGATTTGCTCCTTAAAAATGTACCACAGCCTTTTCATGCAGACACTTCTTCTGGAGAAGCTACTGCTGTATGGCTGGGTGTATCTGCAGTTAGGGCTGAGCCTTCCTGCCACCTCTACCATGGTTACAGGCCAGACCCCTGGATGGCACTGGATGGCAGCAGCCAGGGTCAAATTCAGTTTCTAGAAGGCTGTGTTCAAAATTCTGAAATAAAGCCAGTTTGCAACATGACCCACAGTCCAGGGAAATCAAGTGATGCTGGTTTGAACACTCAGGGCTATTTGTCTCCTGCTTCCTCCAGGGTCATGCCCATCCATTAGCTGTCAGGCCGCTCCTCCTGAGGGTGCTTGTCACCTTCGTTCCCAGCAACAGGCTCCCTGCTGCTCCCTCCCAGCACAGGACCTTCTCTCACACTGCACAGGATTCAAGAGGCCCCACCTATGCCTCCCTCCATCAGGATGACAGCTGACATGGTGTGCTGGGCACAACAACACAGCCTGTGTTTTTCACAGCACAAATATGACACATTTCTCCACTCTTACAATCTATTTTCAATACGAACATCCCCAACCACTGCAAAATGTGTAGACTATATCCCCTGGTTGGCACATTCCAGGCAGTTCCTGGTTCTCTACCACAAGCTGACTGTCCCTCCAGTAGGCCCCTCCAGAGCTCCCAGGGAGGCACTGCTCTCCCTGAGGCTTCAAGACTTCAGGCATCAAACCTCCTGCAAATTGTCCGTCACATCGTTGCTGGGCTCAGGCTCTTTGCAGAGGCAAGAATGGGAAGCAGGAAGATTGCTCATCTTCCATCTATCTCTGGACTGCAGCATCAGGAAGGGAGGTGGAATACGGCTGGCTTAAAAATAGGCAGGGGGAGAAGCAGGAGAACAAGCACCACAGTGAAGGAGAGGGAAGAACAACAGCCACAGGATGAGCAGGCCAGAGGCAGACATGGCAGGATTAATTACAAGGCACTGGTCTAGGCAACCCAGAGGTAGAAGGCTCTGTAGTCAACCTACCTAATTCCTTTCTAGGACCTGGGATCTGGGGGGATCACCTTCCTTGGGCAAAACTACAAGGTAACCAACTTTTACAAAGGGACAATTTATAATAAGGGACATGTTAGGGATGCACCATTTCCCTGGGTATGTTAAGTGCTCTTCTCTAAAGTGGGCATTCCTACTACCCTCAGCTATACAATCAAATTATTGTGAGCTCTGAAGTAATATTAAAAATGATGCTTCTTAAGCTTCTTAATACATTTCAGTGTATCTTTCCTTTTTCTAATTCAATTCAGGAATCTTTTTACGTGTATTGCTGAAATTAATGTGAAACTTAGCCTTTGCAGAAATCTACTGAATATTGATCTCATTACCTGTACAAAAGTGCTTCACAAAAAGAAAATATTTTTCATTCCAACAATGCATTTGAAGTAGAAATGAATTTAATAAATTCCATGTGTTGTACAAAAATTAAAAGAGCAAGGACTTGAAGACAATGTTTCCTGGTGTTATCAAAGCATGGCCATAAGGTACAGAATCTCTCCATGCTCAATATTCCCCAATCAATCCACAGATAGTTTTGTTGGCCAGTTTGCTCTAGCTAGCAATGATAAAAATTCCCTTAAAGTTAGAATTTTTTTCAGAGAAGGTGGCTGGATCACATTAAAGTATGTTTTATATATGCTAAAATCAAAAAGTGAAGTCAGTTATTTGAAAGCTAAAGTATACCTAACTGAAGTATGAACAACACTTGGAGGTGACTGATAATTGCATTGTGAAGTAAAGTTTAGCATATGCAAGAACACATCGTCGTAGTTTGGAGGCTGGCAAAGAAAACTTGTAGCACGTTTTGAATGAAGCAGGAGAGCGTTCAGTCTCTACCTTCGTCATTTCTGACAGAATGTAAAAAAGTACCGTTGAGCATTCATCCCCGAGTGTGGGATTCATCTTACTTCATGTGAGACGCCTAATAATTGTCTAAGTCCAAACTCGTCTTCTGCGATTTAGATCTCTAGTTAATGGTGAGGAACAGTTACTCCCAGGTGCTAGTTTATCCCGATTCTCTTGGACATTATTTTAAGATGGATGAACTGCCCTGCAGAGATGTGTATTTCTCTCCATTTATTCTAGGGAAAACCTAACAGCTGTCTAGAAATGGACATCTCACTAAGAGACATCTAGACTGGGAGAAGAAGGATTACACCTCTAAAGTGCAGTTGTAAGTTCTCATCACTGAAAGATGTTTCAAATGCTTTCAGATGCATGGCCAGGCCTCAAAATTTCCATATATTTAAGGATAATAAACTAAAATGCCTACTGTAATTCTGAAACTCCTTTGACACGTAAACTAATTAAAAACATGTTAGCAGCCTTGAAGAGCAAATAATGATATAATTTGAATGTTCCTTCCTGTATTACGCAGTATATGAGACAAACCATGACCAGAAGAAAATATTCATTCTCATTTTCACTAATTTGTAGACTCTTTAGTTGCCCAAAGTTAAGAGTAGCAATGCCCATTGAAAACACATTTCCAGAATTCAAATCCTTTGATTTGATTGCATTAACTCTTTGCATTTGCAAATACTCCTAACCCAGTATCATTGCTGTCCTGAAAATAATCAAGCAGATAATGGATTATTTCCATGTCAATCACGTATGAACAACTCTCAGAGAAGTTTTACTGCTTCTATGCTTTAAAAAGGATATCTTGTTCTGTAAACCCTTAGTTATTTCCTCAGTCGAAAGAGAAACAAATACAATGCTTTGCAGTAAGTATATTTGTCCTATCACAACATATCATTTTAGCTAGGGGGTGAAACTTGGAAAATAACACTCACCTACTGTCACAACCACACTGTGCACTTTGGAGCTGTTGTCTGTATCTCTGTTTTCTGAAGCAACAAGAAAAGTTGCAAGAATTTTATTTTGGCTGTGCCAGAATCTGTTTTTACAACCTGTTCCCTCTGCATCTTCATCCTGCATGTGACAGGATGAAGTCTTGAACAATTCAGATGCATTTCTGCATGAGTTAAATTCAACCCATGGCAATGCTCACTTATTTCCTAATTCACACAAAACCTTTTCCCATTGACTCTGGGAAGCACTAAGCGTCTTCTTCCTATTAAGGAGTGCAATTTTCTGATGCTGTTACTGTGCTGTCATGGTCATAAACCCTCTGGGAATGTCTCTCAACCTACTGAAAATATTCAAATAACGGTTAAGCTCAGTCTTAGCTCAAAGTCACCATCTACTGTGTGTCATGTCTACAAAGTACATAAGCTCTAAATATTGTGGCTAGGCAGTAAGTGTTTAACCCCTAACAATTATATGGAATAAAATCACCTTTAGGTTTGAAAATGGAGAGTACATAAAATAACCCTAGTAGACTCAAGCTACCTTAGAAATGCATTTCAAAACATACCTTTCTGCAATTCTGCAGTGGCTGATCATTCCTATATAACATCTGCAACAAGTTTAGGGCTTTGCCTGTAAAGGAGCTGCATAAATGCAAAACAGTGTTACTTGAGGAGAGAGGATTCCTGTCGAACGCGGTGACATGGGGCACAGAGTGCCATTCAGCAGAGGCGGCTCAGGCCTGGCCGGGCTGAC